GTTACTTTATTCATCGATATTTATTAGAGATTAAAATATTATTTGATATTACAATTTTTGTTGACTAACTTAATATATTTTTTAGTATTTTTATTATTTTTGTAATTATTTTATTTTTATTAGTTATTTATTTTATTTTCATTATCAATATATTTTCAATTATTATGCATTTTTGCTATACAATTTGAATAACTATTGGAGATTAAACTACTTTTATTTATTTGAGTTGTCTACTGTCCAGTTTGGAGCGTGTAAGGCACTCCACTACTACCCCTCGGGTCGTGTACTCGGCCACCAATCTAGGGCTCATCTCTAGAGCTTCATCGCCTGGTTCGCCCACCACATCGGGAGACCCTACAACACCTTCACCATCCCTTGGCCTCATCGATCCAATACTCTCATGGGGAGATTCATTGCCCCATTGGCTACACTCAGCGCCTACAGGGGCAATCCTCTCTCTCAACACACGGATCTCGGGCTTTAGAGCAGGGCCCTTGGACTCACTGGCGTAGCTCTTCCTACTACTGATTTATGTGGTAAGACGAGGTGAAAAAGCGCCTGACTCTTTAGAACACTCAAAGCACTTAGGACCAGAGTCGGAGTGAGACATGGCTTTAGTTCAAGTCTTTACCTAATGGACGAGGTCTTGGAAGGTTTAAGGGTGATCAAAGTCGAAGGTCGAGGTCTCTGAAGGTTCAAGCTCTTAAAGGCAAATGATGAGGACAGTTTCGACTAAGTGCCCTATTTGAAGGAAAACAAACGGCTCAGATCATCTCCGATCCAATGGCCATGGAGTGACCGCCTTAGCAATCCGATCCGACGCCTGACACGTGTTGACCACCTTGGGAAGACGAAACGACACCGAATGAGTTAGTTGGTCCACTCACTGAGTTAGGCAGCCCACTCGCTAATCTTGAGCCAGAAGCAACTCGACTCGGTTGACCCAATGCTCGTCCCGCGTACGATCACAACGTGATGACCCATCTCCCATATGGTCACGACCCGACGCCCGTCTCGGGCACGGTTCTGACCCATCAATATTGATACCCGTCACACGCACGGTCAGTACCCAATGACAGAATCTGTCCCCTGTACGGCCACAACTCGTTGACATTAACACTTGTCTCGTGCACGACCACACCATGCCCATTCATTACCCATACCTCACATGGTAGTAACCGGCTGAGGTCAATGCCTGACCTATGCATAGACTCATCAACACATCTATGAAGCACACGATTGGAGGGCACATGCATCTTGTACCCGTAAAAAAACATAGCACCAAGCTCTTTGAAGCCAAGGCCGATGCCTTCGCGCTTTTCGGCCCTCCACAACTCTCCCAAGAGGCAAAATCAACAAAGTAGCTACCACTAAGACAAGGGAAGCCCTTCGTAGCCGAGGCCGACATCTCCGCGCTCCTGAGCCAGGCTACCTACAACGAAGCAAAAACCAAAGCCGACATCTCCACGCTCCTGAGCTGGGCTATCCCCAATGAAGCCAAAGCCAATGCCGATGTCTCCATGCCTCAACAATGGGCTGTCTCCAACAAGGCCGAAGCCGAAGCCAAGGTCCTCGCCAAAATAAGCTACTTAGCACCTCCTAGTAAGAACAATACACTCTCTTTGGCCGAAGCCGAGGTCACAACTCCGACCTCCACCACGACCTCTAGAGTGGGGAGCAAATGATGTAGACACACATGGCAGGACCAATGGCATGGACGCACATGGCAGCAGGCCCAGGATAAGGATGCGTAGCACAGGCCGGATGGCATCATGGTCATTCGCTCATAACTAACTCCAGGCAAGTTCAGCTATAAATAGGTGGTGTTACTTCCACCTATGGACTGAAATAGTATGAACCCAAAAACAGTAACAACTAAAAGAGAAGAATGCAAACTGGGAAGCAGGTGAAAGTATTTCATCTCTCTTGTATTAATCAGCATGTATTTGAAGTTTTGAACTCCAACTTCTCAGTAAACCTCCCAAAAAACCTATATCAGAAATCTCAAGCAAGAGGGAGGGTTTGGTGAACATTAACACAAAAGATTTATGGGTTTTAGTTTTCATTCATAAGGGCAATATTGGTATTATAAAAATATTTAGAGCAAGGTATTAATGGTTCTCCACTAACAATGGTCTTATATATGTTATGTGGGGCTAGTCAATAAGGTATATATAAATAGATTTTAAAAGTTCAAGGTATATTTAAGTAATTTCTTAAATATAAGTAGTTTCTTAATATATTAAAATATTTTTATATTTTAAAAAATTTCCTTATTTTAACTAAATTTATTTTTTAAAATAATTTTAATTTAAAAATTTTGGGGATTCAAGTCCTTAATGGAAAACTCACTCCAATTGAGGATTGAGGATGAAAAGTCATTTTTATCCCCAATCAGGGTTGGGGACCCCACCCCGAACCCGCCCCCATTGCCATTCCTAAACTTTAGAAAAAAAAGGTTGATTAATCGTATATGTTGCTCAGTTGGAAATAGTGGCAGAGTTAGGAATTTGTGAATTGCAACTAAAACTAAAGTAATTAATACTCAAAAACAGAAAAGGCATCAATAAATAAATATTTATTATTAATCATTCACATGTGTAACATTACAATTGTCCTCAACAAGTTTTCATATTTTAGAAGCCTTTTATCATGACTATTGATCAAATTCGTTATTTTATTATAATTAAAGACTATTAACTTTTTTAAAATTAAAGAGATGGCTTTTAATAAGAGTTTTGTAGCTTTACTTTTAGTGGGTTATCTTTATATATTTTGAATTGATCTCACAACTTTTTATTTAAGTTGGATCAATTAAAAAAAAAAAGAATTTAAACCTAACTTTAATTGTAAACAATTCATCAAAGATTATAGAAACCAAATAGGTTAAATTGATCTCCTCGTGTCAATGATACTCCGCCTATAGTTGGTTGGTTGTAGTAGAGTAGAGAGTTGGAATTGAAATGATACTCCGCCTCGTGATAACCTCTGTCTTCACCGGTAGAGGTCGGGGGTTATCCGGTTATGGGTTTGGGGAGGGGCTAACCCATTGTGTAGCCCCGAGTCGAACCCTAATATAAGAAATGAACATTTTTCAAAGCACAAAAGAAGTGAAAAAAATTAGCCCAACCCGAGTCGAACCCAACAATGGGTGGGTTGGGGGTTATGGATTCGACTTGGACTTGTACCGCCTACACCCGACCCCAACCCATGTTGGTTCATGAGACTACAAAATAGGATTAGCCCATCCGGCCATCCCATTCCCCAAACCCACAACCCCCACCGGCCACTATAATTTAATTTGAGCGTCCTCTGGTCCCTTGCAAAACCAAAGATGGCCATGGCACATAACTAACTCTGTAAGCTTTAGGCCTAGCCCATGTTTCAGTTAATTAGGCTCCATAGTCGATGAAATTAGTTTCCCCTTCCGAATTGGGACTGCAACGACGAGATAACATTATTTGTAATTTGTGCCTGAATACAAAACCTAAGCCCATTAGTAGCATTACATTCAGGGCCTGTTTTGTGTGTTTTTTTGGGAAGATCTTCTGGTAGTTCTGACATGTAAAAAACGCATAAAGTTTTTGCATGAAGATGTGAGTAGTCCAAAATATGTTTGACAGATGTGTATCTTTATCTTTCCGTGTGAGTTTAAAATGTGAAAGACGCAAGAAATTTCATTTGGAGATTCCGAAATCAGCCCAAAATGGGTTTTTCGTATCTTTTCGACATTCTGTTTTTTGATGGTTAGATCTTCTGTACGTCAAACGAAAATAGACCGAAAATCGATCTTCCCAACTTATAAACAGTTGAAAGATCGCATGAAAAGACACACCAAATAGGTCCTAAATCATTCACCTTGATTCCTTTACTGATGAAAAAAGCCAGCAACAAAAGCCCATCTTATTCCTTTGGAGGCTTCATGCCCACAATGAAGGAGAGAAGAGACATTGATGGTCCATCTCCAACCACTCAAACCCATTATTATATTTCTCAGTTGTATCATAGCTTTTCATGATTACTAATTCCAACTCCTATCTGCTACACACAGGCTTCTTAGTCACGATAAGTGAATACTTAGAACAAAACACCTTTTTATAATCCATTTTTCGCTTATTTCAACTTTCAAGTATCCTCTATAAACAAAACCCACATGATCATCAATCCATTACTGAGATTGATGATCCAAATGTATAGACTTAGGGGTGTAAACGGATCGAATTCATATTGGATCAGGCAATATTTGATTCAAATTTGATTAGAAAATTCAATATCCAACAGATATTGAAAATTAATATCCAAATTTGAATTCGATTAAATATACGAATATTCGATTCAATTGGAATTCGATTAATTAATTATTTTAGATAATCAATAAATATATAAAATAAATATTTTATTGATATAAAGTATATAAATATATAAATTATTTATATAACTTAGTTATTATATATATTATATATAAGAATTAAATAATCGGTTGAATTCGGATATTATCGAATCGAATCAGGTCATATTCGAATTTAAATCCGATTAACTATTCGGTAAAATAAAATATCCGAATTTGACCAATTAAATATTCAAATTATCCAAATTCAATTCGATTATATGAATATCGAATTCGAAATAGGATTTTCAAATACCGATAACACCCTATATAGACTTTTGAGACATCCATATTGAAATCCATATAAATATAATGAGCGCATCCATAAAGTATGTATCAAATTCACATCGAATGTGCGTGATGATGTGATCACATGGTCAGAAAATCAACAACTCCTAACTACTCTTAATCAAGAAATTAAAACAACCATATACATTACTTAAACACATCAACCATAAAAAAAGGGAAAAGGGCGCAGTACCTAATAAATATGTTGAACAGTATGTATGTCTCATCTATACTTCTCCCCCATCGCCATTGCTGACTTCTTCTGAAGCTTTTACAAAATGAAGCATCTCTAGACTGCTGTTGTAGTTGGCAAGTCCTTGATCAGCTAACGAATTACACCGAGAATATGATCACTTTGAAGTAAACCCAGCAAAAGGAGGTTTAGAATCAAGATCGCAGAGCTTCTCAGAGTGGTTGCAGAGGAGGAATTTGGTGGGGAAGGGCGTGTGAAATAAAATGGAAAATAAGGTAAAATTGGGTCAGGAGGGGGAGGAGCGTAGTAATTCCCGTAGGGGGTTCCAGTAGCAGTAGGTGGAGGATAGATCCCAGTTGGGGGTGGGTAATAGACGGAGCCTCCAGACGGTGGCGATTGAGTTGTCGGTGGTGGCTGGTAATTCGTGTTGGTGGAAGGGGAGGTAGTGGTGGATGGGGGTAAAGGGGGTGGAAGACAAGGATAGGGACATACATAGGGAGAAGGAGGCGAATTGTTCGGAATTTGATCGGAAATTGTTGTCTCCAGCATTGCCGTCCCCGGAAGCTTCATTACAACGGCTACCAAAAAGAGGGCAGCTACCAACTGCCTGAACTTGCCGGCCATGATATAAGACGTGGCCGGAAGATGGTGATGATAGAGAAGATGAAACAAAAGTGTGAAAGCCTTTCACCTGAGAGAGAGGGAGAGAGAGAGAGAAGGAGAGAGAGAGAGAGAGAGAGAGAGGAAATGGGGGAGTGACTTTTGAGATGACTTTTTTGAGCGTTTGTCATGCACTCCACAACACCAATCTATCTTTTGAAAGCAACGTCCAGTCGACTGCACCAAGCGGGGGGGTGTCATCTGTCAATCCACCAAAAAGGTATTCTTTCCATTTTTTTTTTATTTTAATGGGATTGATTAGGGCACATTCCATCTTTTATAAACTGAGCACATCCATGAGAATGAGAAACACTGTTGGTTGTGGTTCACATGTGCGATGGAAAATCGAAAATGCAGGGATCTATCAAAAACGAGATGTGCTCAACTCGTGCTCAACTCACTCCTTTCTTCCTTGTATTATTTATATTTTTTCACAACACACTGACACAGTATTGTATGGTAGAGAGTAGAGAGAGTGTAGAGACCACTGTACGTGTAGCGGTGTAAGCAACTCAACTTAACGAAATAGGGAGAAGTGGAACGTGGAGACTGGAGAGGGCATTAAGGCCCATAGGTTTGTGGGCTTCTCATTGAATAGTGGGCTGTAGCTGATGACAATTACAATGGGCTGACCAGGAAATTTTAACCTTCAAGCAAGAGTTGGATTCGTTAGAATGTGGAGATGAGCATGTTATTAGCATTAGGGCATGATTTGGTGCGGATCTATACATGATCCAGGCAAATCCAGATCCGCATTTGGATGTGGAAAATGGACCCACATGGGCAATTGGGCATAAACATAATTCAAGCTTGAAAATATGTTTATTTTTTTCAAGGAATGTGATTAGAGCAACCTTCCAATTAAGGGTAGTAGTGAAAGACAAGATTACCCTCCCAAGCTTCTTTTTTGTGAGGATTGATCAGGGACATTTTCGTACTCTCACTACATTTATAAAAAAAGGGTGGGTGCCCTAAATTAAAAGTGGGTATTTTATGAGCATGCCCATTCACCAAACAAAAGTTAGAGAGTTTTTTTAATCTTTTTCTTTGGTGGTTGTCAGCACTTGTAAATTTATTTAGACAAATAAAATTTAAAAAGGTAGAAATCCATATGATTATCATAACTATGGACAGAGACATGCCAACGTTCATTAAAAAGCTTTCTGATAATCTGACATAAGTTCTTGGCTGATTCAGTGGAACCATTTGTTTGAAGACTGAAAAGGACAAAATTACCCATGCAAGGTGATAAAACCTTCAGTCACAGAGCATGTGCAAAATTGGTATTAAAGATTGTAGTTGAAGAGTCTATTTGTTTTGCTGACTTTTGACGTTTGAGAGAGAGAGAGAGAGAGAGAGGGCTCCAGGCGTGAGAGAGAAAAAGGCAACCACAATAATTTAATGTTGAAAAAAAAACAAGGCTATAGCTCTCTCCAATTGCCATCACTGCCTTCTTTCACTCTAAGCCTTCTTGATTGGAAAGGTTGCTAAGATTGGCGCCGTGGAAGATGGCTGGTTGCCTTTGTTGGTTTTGGGTGGAGTTCTCCGGATAGAAATTAAATAATTAATCGGAGGGTAATTAGGAGGAGCTTCTGGGTGGACCAGATTGATCAACACTCAACAGGGATAATGAATTCAGAATTCCTTGGTATGTGAGGAAATCAAATTCTATGGAGATGATAATATTTCCCCGTTAATTGAAGACCCCGTGACTTGCACGATAGCCTAATAGCCTCTACTGGTCGGTCTAGCCCCATGATTTGATGAGCCGAGGTACCGCATCCGTCAGAGGTGGAAGGGACGGGGCCCGGTTGAGCTCCACTTCCACTTCCACTTGTGCAGTGGAGTGGGTCAAATCAGGTTACTTTATCAAGTTTGGAGTTAGGGGGGTGAAACCAAACGATGCCTAAGATGCCGTCTGGGCCTTTACTTCTTGTATATATATAACAGTCAACAGGACCCAGGATGGTGAATAATTAAAAATCAACAGAATTAAACCTCGAAAGATCCTATTAATACAAAATTTCCTAGATCATACTTGAACCTTGTGGTGTTTGTTTTGTGTTATATCTAGTCAATCACGGCTAGCTGCTGCTCTTTCCTGTTCAAATAATAAAAAAAAAAAAAAAAATCAGCCTAATCAGCTAATAACCAGTCACAGGACGGTTCTGATGCTTTGAGTTTGGGTCTCCTGCCCACAAGAGCCCTACCCACACAACACATCATTATAACGGTACATTGAGAATATCTCTTTATTTACATATTATCATTCATGGACAGATATTTCCAATGTACAACTGTAGTATCGGGTGCATAGGTGTGAATAGGGTTCTGGTGGGCGGAAATATCAATTGCGGATGCCTACTGGTTTGATTAGAGTTGCCAATGATATCCATTTGTCTAAATTCAAATTCATCCTATTAAGACGGGGCATTCCTAATTCGATTTATTTATAATTGCATCAAATATGAATCCACCTCTGATTAAATCCTATTCCATTCAATTTAAATTTTATGCTCATATATACTCAAAATTTATATTGTACCTATTCATAAAATTGGTCCACATGCTATAATTTTACTAAATTTTCACAGGTCTAAGTTTTATACATGCTATCTTTTATCCATTTTATTAATTATATGATATTTCAGTCATTTTATTCGATATTTCATTGCAAGTTGAATCTGATTCGAATTCCAATATAAATAAATCAAATTTAGATCTACTTTATCAATCTCAAACAGATTTAGTGTTGAGATAAATGGGGTGTGGAAAGATAAAAAGAATGCTCGTTCACAAGAATAGAATTAGAAATCAACTGTCTCCAGTCACCGTTATCCTCATATAAGATGTGTGACTAACAAAACATCACGTGTGAAAAGAGACAAATATATAACCCTTGACATTGGACTACAACAGTAAGGGAGTTGGAGCCAAATTGGCATTTCGTATGTATGATAAACAGTAATTCTTTAGGTTTAGTTTGTAAAGAATACAAATATAAATATAAATATGTATAACATAAATACATACAAAATATAAAATTTTGCACTTTACATATTTGTGTATTCATACTCCTTCCAAAGTGAGTCTTAGTGAACACAATTTTCATCTCTATAGGTTTGAACTGGGAAGGCGCTATGTGGATTATTTTAGTAGCTATCAATTTAAAGGTCCAATTACTAATAATTAAGTTGTCAAAGTCAAGTGTGTAGTTTCTTCACCTTCCCACCCAGTGTCGGTGGAATACTTTCAAATTCCTCTGTTTAAAATTAAAGTTTCTCCTTTTTTTTTTTTCTCTTTGATAATCAATTTCTCACTTTTTTGAACATGCGCATGTTTGGTTTATAACCATACAAAATAGATTTTATTTTCCTTTTTTCTTCTTTTTTTCTTTAGAGAGAGAGAGAGAGGAATACTGTCCCATTGTAATAGAATCTTTCCTCAATAACCATGAATTGTATTTACTGTTGGGACAAGGTTATCCCCATCCCCGTGGGGATCTTCACTCCCTTTAATTGTTTTTTATGTTAATTATTTTGTTTTTATTTTTATTTCATTTAAAATTTAAAAATAAAATAATTAAAATTTATAATCTTATTAAAAGAGATAAAAAAATCTTTATTTTTGTGAGAAAAAATCATTTTCATCCATGCCCCATTCAAAATAAATTCCCATAAAAATAGAAAAAAATTTTATCTCTAAAATGGTCATAGCTGTGGCTTGGGATCAATTCCCGCCACCTTTACATAGGTTGGAGGGTCATGAGACGGGCCATCCATGAAGCCAAAAAAAAAAGAAAGTGCCATAAAATTGGTGAAAATTAATTGAACAGATAGCTCAGTTTTAGAGAGGCCCATATCAATAATCCATGACCGTTATTCCATGTTTTTTTATTTTTTTTATTTTTTCATATCGTATTCTTCTAAGAAATATAGAATATCAGACGACCATAATAGTCGTAGTACAATGCTTGGCCTTGACCAGGGGTGTCTGATCCAATTGATCTATGCCCTACATTTCACACGCACATCCTATCAAGATGTTCCCAATGCAAGGTGGATATGACTGTAAGGCGCCCATGTATAACGAGCAGATCGTGCAATACACCAATAGGACGATAGAACAACCTAGTAAAGTACAGGGGTTTCTGATCCAATTGATCTATGAGCCAAGAGTTGGATGGGCCCAACTTCTCCAGGTGGACGGTGGACCAAATTCATTCCTTGGCCATTCTGACGGTCTCCCACTACCCATTACTACACCATACCACTTCTTTTATTCAGTTAATGTGAGCTGGTGATTAATATTACGTAAAGATAAGAAAAGAGCCATATTTTGCCACTTGGTGTAATCTGTCTACGTTGGATAGCGGTCTAGTACTAGTTTAATACCAGAGTGGGAACCACATTTGTTTAATACTTTAATTGGTATCCAGTCGTCTTAACGCAATTATTAATTCCTTATTCCATTGAATACATCAAATAATCCATCCTTTACCAAGAGAGGCTGTGATTGATTTCCATCTGGCAACCTCATTACATACTCTCGTCCTTTTCTTTATAATAAATAATTACTACTATTATAATTATTATGAAAAGGATTAGACCTACATTTGAGTATTTAACTGGATGGAGGGTCTCACACTCATTCAAGGCATCTCTCATTCTAACGATTGTCTTGGATTCACTAACCACATGAAAGACATCTTATTTTTCTTCCTCACCAGTCACCAACAACTAAACATTCTGCTTAAGTTTAATAATATGACCCTTAAGAAAGAAAATATGATATATGTAAGACATAAGTAACCATATGGTGGACCTTCCATATACTTGTTGTTGAGGGGGATTGTAGTCCAAAAATCCCAAATTTTTTAAATTCAGCTCATCTCTTCATTCACCTGAGTTTTATAATTATAAGTAAATTCTTTTCTTTTTTTCCCTAAAAGAAACTTTTATAAA